CACCTTGACCTTAACATATCAATTGTACATACGTTACATTTCAGTGATCACACCTAAATATCTGGGACCTCAAAATAGCCCAAATTTCAAATTGTAAACAACTCTTTATACGTGGGGCTCTTTCAAATGTTTCCTTTTAACTTTAAGGAAGTCAAAATTTAAATGCAGAATTCTTAAGCATTCTGGCAACCACCCATCTTTCTAATTGCATCCTCTACAACTTCCCCTGTCAACATGACCTCATCTTTTGTTTTAGCCACAAAGAGCCATTCACTAATTCTCAGATACGCTTAATCTTTTCATGCACATATGCTTTTGTCCATCTAGTTTTCTCTTCCTGGAAAGTTCTTTTCAATATCTCCATCTCATTAGCTGACTGACTGTTTAAGACCCATTTGAGTTATTTCCTGCCATCTTCAACTCCCTGAGACAATGACTTTGTAAGTCATTCTTTCATCTGTTGCTTCCAGTAACTTGAGAGTAAATGCACAAGTTACAATAATTTTGTAAAAATAGGCTCGTGTCAAAATGCCAAGGAGCATTTCCTACTGATTACCAAACCTCATTGCTCTGTGTACTTCTGTTATTTCCATTCTTACAAGATTAAACAAAAAAATTGCAAGACGATATCTTGATTCAAATAATTAAATATTCTTGTCCCAGACTATTACACTAAAAAAATTTTTTAATAAAAATTGTAATGGGGTAGATAATACTACTTCTTTCTTTAATTTTTAGAATCAATTTTCCTCTTGAAATAAAGTCACTTCCAAAGGAGTCCATGCTCACTATAAAACTGTATGGGATTGCCTGTGAAACCAACAATGCAAAGCTACTGGCCTGGACTTGTCTTCCATTGTTTTCAAAAGAGTAAGTATATCGTTGGTGGTTAATAAAGGTCCCATTTCAATAAAATATCCTTGGAACTAAATATTTTGTAGGGCATGATATAAGGAGAAAATTAAGAAGACATTTTATTCTAAAATGTTGTATTAATCTGAATAGAGTTGAAACACATTCTTCTCAGTAAAGTAACACTAAAATAGCAAAGCAAATATCCAATGTTTTCAATATTAATATGAACCCAGTAGATGATCTAATTCCCACCCACATAGGAGAAAATCTCATTTCAATTCAAGTTGGAGGGTAAAGTGGCCTGGGGTGGTTGGAGGGTAAAGAGGATGGGGTGGTTGGGGTGCTCCCATTGAATGGACACAATGTTTAGGTATGTGATACACCTTTGGGGTGCAGGACGTAAGTAAAAGAGGGATTCTACCTAATAAATTCAAATATTTTGATTTGGTTGTTTGTACCTTCACATCAATCAATCAATCAATCAATCAAATTGAAGTAGCTCAGTATACATCGTGACTATTGAAAACAGAACTGAAAAGCAAAAATGTAGAAATGGCTTTAGAAACAGGCCTCGTGCCCAACTGGTCAGCTGAGTCATTTACAATGAAAGATCTTGGCATGACCAAACTCAATTACTTTTCTTTTTCACTGGTCAATTTCTCTGGAATTAGTAATTCAAAGTGATTTGGATTAATACTGTCATTCAGAAAGAATGTTTAAGTCGTGGAATTCTGGTTAAAGTAAAATCACACAATGTAACTGTTTTTTTGACCTTTTATTGTCAAGAAGAAACACTTGATAACTTTAAGATGATATTTTTTAGAAAAGCAAGTCAATTATGAATTCAGATATTCTTTCGGAACTAATGGCTGTGGCAAAATTAACCCTTTCCAGTTTTTCTTCCACTCTCACGCTCCCCAGCTCTTATTTATTTTGGGGTGGAAAAGAGGTTGGTAAATTACTTGTAATTATCCTACAGTTTTAAAAGAGAAATAGATAAATATGAACGCACCTGATTATTTTATTATATATTTTAGGTTACATTAAATAATTAAAGTGATTTTGTTTATAATTGTTTTGATTGTGATGCTTCTTGAAACGATCTCCAGGATGAGGTCCAGGCTTCCTCTCACATGTCTCACAGTAGAAAACAGTTTCTCTCCTTCCAACTATTTCATTTTTTCTGCTGCAAACCATGCAATCCTTTGTTGATTTTTTAAGCTTTGCATTGTAAAATGTATCTTCCCACTGAGTCTTTCCTCAGAGTCAGAAGATGATGGTCTTCTCCTTCTTAAATTTCTATACTTCACTTTGCTCATAAGCTGAGTGATGAGATTTCTCCTGTAAGAAAGGTGCATCTGTACTTTTTCTCCAGCAAAGTGGGTGGACACAGCAACAATAAAAAAAAAAAAAAAAGCATTGACCATCTTCCAACATAGGATCAAAAATTAACTGTTGATTTAACTATAAGCCTTGGGGACTATGAATACTTAGAATATTTGGTAAAATCAATTAGATGCTTTTCTATCCTATGAGGAGAGAAATATTTCAAAAAATAGACTTTTTCAAATGGCAATAATTTTCTTTAGAATCAAGTGGCAAAATTCAGGACCCTCAAAAAATTAGTACCTATATGGTGATGTTAGTATTGCTCTAAAGTATGTTTCTTCCCTTGATGGTTTAGAAAGATTGGGTAATGCAAAAATGTTAAAACCAATTCTTCATCCGTGCTTAATTCCCATGCTTAGGCATATATATTAATTATCATCAAAGCAAATATGATAATCTTAAAATCATCTTTGCTGGATTAATTCTGATATGGGCTGTGAGGGTGTATGTGTTTTACTCTGTTATTTGTTTTCATGTTTTAACCCATTTCCCTGGGGTATTACTAGAGTACAGGGAATTTTGTGTGTGTGTGTGTGTGTGTGTGTGTGTGTGTGTTTTGGTAATATCTATCATTTAACATAGTGCCTTGTTATATAGATAACCAGTAGAAGTTTATTTATTGAATTGAATTTGAAAAACAAATCAATCCAAATATAGAAGATATAGAATGAAATAAGATTTCAAATGCTTATAAGAAACAGTTTTTCCCAAGAAGGAATACCTAGTGCTATTAGCAGACATTTGGGCAGTGCCTGTGGCTCAGAGGGTAGGGCGCTGGCCCCACATACTGAGGGTGGCGGGTTCAAACCCCACCCCAGCCAAATTGCAACAAAAAAATAGCCGGGCATTGTGGCAAATGCCTGTAGTCCCAGCTACTCAGGAGGCTGAGGCAAGAGAATGGCTTGAGCCCAGGAGTTGGAGGGTGCTGTGAGCTGTGTGATACCATAGCACTATCTGCTTTATGTGCTAAGAACCTTCATTCCTTTCTCATTGAACAGCTATACAAGTATCATTTCTTTTCATGAGTGAATTTCTTTAATGTTCAGCAGCAATACTTGTAAGATTTAGCATTGTTGTAGCATATTATTTCTAGCTATTCACTGAAAAAAATAGGTTACATTTATTCTCTCCCATCACTTAATACACGACTTTACATATAACAATCAAGTCAAATAAACATGAAATATGTAAGGAGTTGGGAATATTTTTTCTTTCAAACTAATTGTCAAGGCCTTTTTCTAGCTGGTTATGGTGATAATAATGCTGTCTCCATGCTATTTCGCCATGAATCAGTTGCCATTGGTAAGCATTCTATAGGTGACTGATCACAGAAGATGGGCATTGGAGAGAAACACCATCTGAGACAGATTGGAGTTGGCATTTTTCTATGGGAAAGAGTCAAAATTGTAAATGATGGGATATCAGAAAACAAAACTTACTTCAAAGAGTACTTCAGTAAACATTTGTAAATACATTTCAAACAGATTGTTTCTCATGAAATCAGAAAATCTGCCCTGCTCCTGGGCTAAATGATTTAAAGAAATCCAGATCATTTTAGGACATCAGAAATGCATCACGTAGGGGTGGGCAGTGGGTGGGGAGATGCAATGACTCCCACTTTGCTTGTTGCTCTGAGTTACAGAGATTAACCCAATTTATTTGATGCAGATATTTCCAGATCACAACAAATTGGTGACTTAACTTCATTTAGAATGACCCCTGCCTATAAACATTTGGTATTGGATCTGTCTTTCATTACAGTTTGAATTGCCCGTAGCTAGCCATGTGGAGTTGTAATGAGCCCTTATGTCATTATTTTTTCCAACATACATATAAACTGAGAATATGCAGAACTAAAGGCTTGCTATCTCATCATGGTTTCTACAATTGAGTTTCAGAAGAACCAAAGATGATTAAACTCAGATAAATCAGTTAGGTCTGCATCAGTAAACTTCTACTTTTTTTTTTTGGCCGGGGCTGGGTTTGAACCTGCCACCTCTGGCATATGGGGCTGGCGCCCTACCCTTTTGAGCCACAGGCACTACCCAAACTTCTACATTTTTAAGCAAGAAAATTCACATTCAATTCTACTTTAAAAAGTTCTGAAGTCCAAAGATAAAATTTTGCCCACAGAAGTTTTATAAGCTCTGCATTTGCAGACAAGACTTCTTCTTCTTTTTTTTTTTTGGCTGAGGCCAGGTTTGAACCTTCTACCTCCAGTATATGAGGCTGGCACCCTACTCCTTTGAGTCACAGGCACCACCCTTGCAGACAAGACTTCTATACATCTGCATTCATACTTTCTCTACAATGCAGAAAGAAAATGTTGCTTGAGCTCCTATCTCTAAGTTCAAAACTAATAGTATGGTGGTTCCTTAGCATTTCTAAATTGTGGTAAGCTACTTCAACACAGAGATTCTCAGCCCTGATTAAACAATGGAATTTTCTGGGAAGATTTTAAAATCAACCCAAGGCCCAAATACCTTTAGAAATTCTAATTTGATTGATCTGTTGTCTGGCCTAATCATCACTATATCCAAAGCACCCAAGGTGAGTTAAAGCCTAGGAAAATTAGAATCTTTTATAGAATTTAAAAAGGGATCTAAAATAATTCTTAATCTCAAAACAATTAGATTCCTTATATAGGAATCTATATAAAGAATACCTGAGTAGCCAACCTTGACTCCCCAAACCGACATATCTAATCATGTCAGATATATCTTCAAAATCAATTATGGATGACAATTCCATTTTGCTTTATTTTCCTGTCCAAGATAGACCCTCACTTAGTCCAAATGCCTCCTTTACAGATGAAGAACTCTATTTTGAAGGAAAGTTAAAAGACTTTCTATGATTATCAGGCATCTTAGAAATAGAACAAGAACTAGAATAAAGGTCCAGGCTTTGCCGGCTTAACCCATTTATGCCAGAGGTTGAAATTTTTAAATTTTTTGCATCACTTTTTGACAAGCTCCCAGCATAATAACTGAGCAGGGACTGACTCGGTGCACCACGTGAGTCACCCATATGTACCCTCAGGAGGCAGATGTGTGAAAAATCAGACTTCGGTGATGACCTTGAGCGGCAGGGCATAAATAACTCCCATGTGACTACCATTCCAATAATGGACAACGAGGCATAAATGGGCAGCTGCCTCCCTTCCTGCTCCTAGATGACGTGCCTTACTCCATGAACACCCTGTAAAAAACTCATTACCCTACAAGGAAGGGGCGCCTGCCTCAGTCTCGCCTGGGTTGTCCACTCTTGGACATGAAAACTACCAGCTCTATTAGAGTCAGCAACCTCCCAAAATTTATAACACTGGATCATCTGATCCTATTGTCTGCCCATTTCTGGGGTCTTTATATTCTCTGGTTCCAGAATGCAGCAAATGGATGTATAGAAACCTATAGCTAAAAATTGATAATTATTTTACTTAAATGTCTTATATTTCTTGAGGAAACAGGGTTCTAGAGAGGATAAACCAGCTCATAAGTTCTCCTGGTGCCACAAAGTTTGGATTGGTTTTTCTGTAGAGAATGAATCTATATAATATTTAAATTAAAAATACCATTCAAAATTTACAGAAAGCATATGTTTAGCAGTATAGTCCTTTTCTTAATAATGTTGTATTCAAAAAATCTCTAAGTGATAAGAGGATGAGTAATGCAGGTATGAGCTATGTGGAAAGACTCTGAAATCCTACAGTCCAGTTGAATTGGCATTTTCCAACCACCCTTCTAAAGGCCACCCTTAACTACCAGTAGAACCTCAAAGCTTTACAAAAACACTGGAAAGACCATTGATTTTGTCCAGGAAGCGCAAAGAAGTTAAGCTAATTAAGGCTAGTTAATGAAGACAGGCTCCAGATGGCCTGGCAGAGTCTTCTGTTCTTTCTATCATATGAAACTGTTTTCTGTATATACTGCCTTCATCAATTTTTGTTCATTTGTTTAATTTTAACTGACTTAACAAAACTTTCACAGTAGTGGTAATTAAAAAAAATGATGGTGGTCTCCTGGTGCCTGGTGTTAAAAGTTTCCATTTTCATCTTCCTTCTGCAACCACCAACACTCTTAGAGGTATCTTTTCAAATCTTAATCCCACTAATTATCTTTTTCCTATATTCCATTTATAGAAGTCTATTGAAATGTATTTCCTTCTTATATTCTAACTGGGCATAGTGGCTCACGCCTGCAATTCCATCACTTGGGAGGCCGATGTGGCTGGATTGTCTAAGCTCACTGGTTTGAGACCAGCCTGAGCCAGAGTGAGACCCCATCTCTAAAAAATAGCCAAGTGTTTTGGCAGGCATCTGTAGTCCCAGCTACTTGGGAAGCTGAGGCAAGAGAATCACTTAAGCCCTAGAGTTTGAAGTTGCTGTGAGCTCTGATGCCACAGCACTCTACCAAGAGTGACAAAAAAGAGAGAGAGAGATTCTAGCACAATCCATTATCAGAAAGCAAATTAGATAATATAAAATGCAGAGAGAGCCCATGAAATGGTGTCAAATATTTATTTCTTTCCCCCTTCAATGATGTTAAAGTAAATACTACATCAGCCTTGTTATAAGCTAAAAGTCCTTTCTCCCTATCCCCTGCTTCTTGATATACACCCCATATACGCACCTACATCAGGTGTTCTGACTTCCTTCTACCTCGAGTCCCTCAGGGTTAATGTCCTGGTGATTATTATCCCAGCCCAGAAATGACAGGTACTTACCACTAGATTCTTGAGTCCCCTCTTCCTCTATCAGAATCATCTTAGATCACTCAGATTTTCAAAGTGAATCATGACTAAGACACATAAATATATGGCCTAGAGGGGCCACAACTATAACACATTTTGCAACACAGGTATGAAGGAAAAAAAACCCACAACAATCATATCACACGTTTCCTTATGAGCTCCCACCCTGTCACTAACAGGGAGAAAACCTTTAGATCTATGACAAAGTATTTGTTACTTCAGTAATTTAAAACAGCCTTGTAGAAATGTGAAGTCTCTTTTGGATAAAAGTGCCCCATCACTCTGATATCCTCCTTATACCCTGATTCTCTTCCTAAGAGGGAAAAGGAACACAGGATCAAAAAAGAAAAGAAAACAACCTCAACAGATCCTTTGGCGCAGGAACTTGTGGTATTTGAATCAAAACCTCTTATAAAGCTGGTGGCTGCTTGTTACAGGTGACGTTGCAGCTAGTGTAGCTTGTGAGTGGGGCTCCCACAGCTGGGCAGCGCCTTCCTGGCTCTCCCTGGGTGACTCAGGCTGTCACAGCCACCAGAGACCCATCTGAGGTTTGCTGGTGACCTCCATTTGTCCTCAGCTGGGATGATCTAATAAAATGCCCTTATCACAGAGGCTCTTATCCCCATAAGTGAGCCCCTTTCTGAAAACCCTCACCCTTGAATACCTTTGGCTATTTCCAGATGCCATCTCATCTACAAAGAAACCAAAGAAGGCCCCGCAAAGCTAAACTCAGGAGTTCCTCCTGCCTGCTAACCTGTGACACCAAGTTTAATGATCATGCCCACGCTGGTCCAGAGCACCCTCAAGAGGCAGTTTCCTTCCAGGATCTGAAACGAGGCGTGAGAAAAGAGCCCCTCTATCTTCCATGACCTGTTTGCTCATTTAGCTCAGACTCGTCCCCATTGCTTCCAAAGGCAGAGGAGAGGCAAATAGGAGAGCAAATTAGATAATATAAAATGCACAGAGAGCCCAGGCACTCTGCCCACTGCACTCACTCTGCTCCTTCTTCCCGTGTCTCCTGCTTCCCACCCTCCCGAATTGCCAGAAAGTGGCAGGCTTTTCTGTTACCATGCTCTCCCATCCATCCTGTCACCTCTTCTCCTTCCTTGCCTGGTCTCACCATTCACAGAGAGATTTTTCTCTACGTGCTCTGGAGAACATTATGACCTGAGTTCCCCAAGTTTGGTGTGTGACGTGTTCTTTCCTCCTCTTACATCCTGCCTGACGCTAATCCAGAACTTTCCCCAGGGAGATGGGGGTTTGTCTATATGGGGTGGAAGGTCATACTCTCTTAAAGACAAATGGAAAATTTACATTAATAATTTTACAATCTTTTTTTAATTTTCTCTGTACACATACATGTATTTATTTGGTTTCCACTTTTTGCCTTCACAAAATTAAAGAGGCTTAAAATTTAATAACAATAACAATGTCTAAGATAAGGACTAGAAACAAAAACCTCATAAAGAACAAACGAAGATAAATACTTTTAGAAAAGAAATCAGATGATTGCTGCAACAAATATTGAGCAATAATAATGATGATGCAAAAAAAGTAACATTCACATTGTCAGATAAAAGTATGTCTATCATAGAATGCTTTGACTCTGAGGTTCAGTATGGAGTCATCAGTTAACTTTTTTTCCCCAAAGTCTAAAAAAATAAAGGATATTTATTTTTATAAATAAAAATAGAAGGTAATTTCCAAAATCAGATCATGCCAAATCTTTAGACAATAGAAAAAGAAGAAATACTTCAAAATAATTCTACAATTTTACAATCTGTACACCTGTTAAACCTTTACCTTACTAATACTGGCCCCCTAGTGTTCTCATACCAAAATGAGTCATCTTCTGATGAAGAAAGGATGGAAGAAAGGGAAAGAAGACTCAAAATTCATCCTGATAGAAGAATATTCTTAGATCACATAAAAATATCTACCCAACAATTTTAAAAATTATATACCCTTAGACACATATTTTCTGGCAGTGTCTTTAGATCAAGAAAATAATAAAGAAAGCAGGCCTCAGAACGCTAAGGTTTAAAGAAAACACTCGTGGATTCTTTTATCATGTTTTGCCTAATGCCTGTTAAATAGCAAGATGGTAATATATATATAACCACCTAATATGTATATTTAGAAAGACCCAGTGGATGCTTTAAAGTTCTTGGTATACTCAAATTATATTAACTTCTACTTTTACATTTTCAGTTTGGCATATTAAAATCAAAGACTGTTCTCAGTGATTATTGGAATATTTTACTGATATTCTGATTCTCATATATGTGTACAGCCAGAGTAACTTCTTTTATAATTCAAATGAAGATCTGTGGATTTGGATGTTTCTGAATCTGTTAAAACCATCCATGAATTCTTCCCTCTTTAAAATCTTTCCTGTACGCACCCTCATTTGCTATGGTAATTTACCACCAATTTTTAAACATTCAGTATATGAATAATCTTTCTATTTATACATAAAGAAGCATTTCCTCCATGAAGTCCCATGACTATTTTTATTCTGCAGATCATATGCTATGCTAATTTAAGCCTTCTTTTTTTCTCTATAAATTTAGTGCTCACATCTTTAAAGGTGCCTAGGGAATTCAGTCACTCCTTGGAGCAAAGAATGTTCTGAAGAGTTGACATCTTTATTGACTTAAGGCAGCCATAACTGCAAGAATATAAATCTGGGACTCTTGGTCTCACCTTGTAATCGCCACTGATAGCAATTAAGAATAAATGCTACCCATTAGAAACCACTGAGAGTAAATAATCATCTCATGTGGAAAATAAATCTAGGCATCTAGGAAAATAGCCCTGGTTGTGGTGTATTAGAAATGAACTGCCAATTAGTGGCTGGGCTTGTGGCATACCATATTTCTTTTCTAGCAACTGAATAAAGCCACTGAAATAGCTGATTGTGTTTACAGTCCGAAAGAAAACATTTACAGATAATAATAGCTTTCCTCATGAAGTGACTCCTGTCTGTCTGTCTCTATGGGTCGTCTCTTGCAGAAAATCCATTCTCGGGTCTATGCTATTCAGCATGACGTTGCAGAGTGAACCACCCAGAGAAATGATAGCTCCAGGAGTGTGGGATGTGAGCCAGCCATCCCCAGTGACCCTGCAGGTGAGTGTCGGGCTGAGATTCAAGTACACAAGCCAAGTATTGGTTGCTAAGTAGTTTGTTGTCAATTATAGAAACAATTTCTTCCAGCATCACACATTTTAATGGTCTTCTCTTCCTCCAGCCTGCTGAGATTTGTGAAAACTCTCTTGCTTTCATTTCACAAATTCTCAAAGCACTTTTCTCCCAGCTTATAAAGTAGGAATTTCAAACCCTTCTCTAACAAACAAGATCACCGAGGAGAGCCGTGGAATGCTGGCCATTAAGCATACTTATTATGTGCATTCATTTTCTTCTCGTTGTTTAAAAACAGTCATTGGTATATAGTATGAACTTGATACCTTACTCATATTTGCCTCAGCATTGTGTCACGTTTCTTTAAAATCTCTTCAGTTGTACATTTTCCTAAATGACTAGCAATTAACTGAGTAGTGGGAAAGAAACTACAAACAAAATCTATCTATTATACTTTTTTTTTTCTTCAAGTCTTCCTACTCTGTGTGATTTGAGATCATGAACAAAAGGTGGGCAGCAAGTCCAGGCTTTGGTCCTTCCTGTTGACAGTTCCATGACTTAGCTGATCACATTGCTTAAATATTTGAGGCATTGACATTCTCAGGCATGAAAATGCAAAGTATATGGACTTTCTATGTCTACAGAAAAAATTGGAAAGTACTATCTGGGCAGCACCTTCCAGACAAAGTTTTTTAACTACACCGCTACCGACCTTTTGGACAAGATAATTCATTGACATAGGGCTATCCTGGTTATAATAAGATGTTTGCCACTAGATGTTGGTGGTATCATGTAGGTCCTAACAATCAAAAATGTCTTTGAATATTGTCACATGTCCTTTAAGGACAAAATTTCCCTCAGCTGAGAGTCACTGCTCTAGAGGACATTAGAAGCGTCTCTAGGCCCTTACGTTTCCAGGTTTGATCTAAGGCATTGAGGGGACAGAGTTTAGAAAACTATATGGAAAGATGTTGGAAATGAAAAAGAAAAATTAATACTGGTAGAAATGTGGGTTCACATTCTAGTAGAGAAGGGCCCTCCTGGACAGCAGCTAAAGAGCCACTTAAATCTGTGTACAAGATGATAAAAAAGAATGGTTATTCAGATTAGATATTGGCACAAAATCTTAGACACCCAACACTTGGTGTCATTAATTAGCAGATGTCCCTGTTGTAACAAGACAAAAAGATAAATATTTCCACTACAAAAGAGGAGAGACTTGCCATAAACCTGATAAACATTTTCTAGTTATGACGAATAGCAAAATGCTAGAGGTTCAATTCAGTGAGGATAAATATGCAATTTGCGTATGACGGCTAAGCACCAAACATTATGATAAACACTTTTACAAAAATGAGTGAAGGCATAATACGCGTACCCAGCCAAAGAATTCAAGAAATGCAAAATCCAACTGGAGAGACAGACGTTCCGCAACTCACTGATGTAATGTGGCGAATATTGTAGCCGTCACCGGGGCACTAACAAAGTGAGAATAGTAATGACTATTTCTGAGGGAAAGCGAACAAACATACAAAGTCTGGAGACAGACTCGCAGAGGACATGACATTTGAATGCCCTTTTGGAGAATGAGTAGATTCTCACTCTCACTAACTAGTTTCAGTGGGAAGAGCTCTTCAGTCATAAAGAAATGCACAATGAAAACACACAGATTTAGAAAGGGGGTGGCAGCTTCAAAATGTGATGAGTTAGCGAAACTTAAGGACTAAATGTTATGAGGAATAGTGGCAAAAGGTGGAAAATCACTAGATTATGTACCAAATTTAGACATGATTATCTGAGTAGTGAGTCATAGAGCGCAGTTCTACCAAGGTTATAGAAAATGTCCTGAAAACAAGAAGACATAAGGCCAAAACTAAGAAAAAAACAATTAAGTGGTAAATTTTGGAAACTTATTTTAAACAGAATGGAGCACAACCATCTGAAGGAATAAATAAGGAAACACGGCAATTTGTGTTTCTAAGTCAATATCAATAGCTTCAGTTTTTAAAAATGCAGAGAAGGAATAGATCTTTGACGGAGTAATATGATAAATTCAGTTTGAGATACATTACTTTGTATATAGACCTGTAGGATATCCAGGTATAGATATAGGTGACTTTTCTTTAAGGTATTAGTATCTTTAAGAGTATTAAATGTATTTTCTAATCAACTATTTCTTGTCAGATCCAAACCACCTCAGCGTAATGAAAGTCTTCCGTCTGGCCATTGCCAGAGCTTTCTGGATATCACTTTATGATGTTCTGGGTTGGCGGGGTAGGGGATAGGGAGAGGAGTGGGTGAAGGAGGTGAAGGAGGAGAGAGATGACAGTCTCCTAGATTTTTTTCTGATGAGGGAAATTGTTACTTTAGGAACAGAGATTCTGGTGAGTGGCATCAGAAGGAAAGTTTTGAATATTCAATAGCAGCACAGATTTCTAAGCAGAAATCTGGATCCATAACAGAATTCATCTCAAAAAAAAAAAAAAAAAGTGAGGGAGGGGCATGTAAATCATTCAACAGTATGCAAAAGGTAAATCATCTTATTTTTGCCAAATAATTTCAAATAGTATAGATAAAAAAAACTCTCAACACATTTTTAATTGGTGATGAGATATGCGAAATAAGAGTTGTTGAGGTAGTAAAGTCAGATCTTTAATAGCCAGTACCAGTCTCATTTACATAGTCAGATAAATTTAGAGCAGGATGTCTAGATTTCTGAGATTAAGACATGGTGAGGAATTAGAAGCCAGTTCTGCCCCAGTGTTTTTGTTGGGATGACAGGATGAGTCTCAGGCAAAGACATCTGCTGAGAGCTAAGAAATCTGGATTCTAGTCTTAGCTCTTTTACAGAAAACTTTATGACCTTGAACAAGTTGCCTAATCTTTTATTTTCCCCTCTGAACAATGAAAAGATGATACCATGCTTTTCTGATTGTCTTTATTTGGTGGGTTTTCACTGCCACTCCGTAGCCACCCCCGTATGACAAAGGATGTGATATGTCACAGAACATGATTCCTTCAAGCCAATGCTTGTCTTCAGGTCCTCTGGGTGATGTACTGACCAGAAGCGATGGGCCCGATAAAATAGATCTGAGTTCAGAAATGGAGACAGAATGGAGCAGGTTATTGTTTGATTCCCTCAGCTCAGGTCTGCCTAAACGTCCCATCTCTCCTAAGACACAAAAGGTGTCAGTGGTGGCACCCAGAGATGAGGGCTCAGCAGAGATGTTCAAGCCAGGTTTATTGAAAGGGGAAAGTGACCTTCCTGGGAAGTGCCAAAGTTGTGTCTGAGTCTGGGGCGGTTAAAGAGCCCTTTTATATGGCAGTGTCGGGGGTGTATAAATTCCACAGCTTGCCTGAAGGTTAGGGTCCTTTGACATGAACTTGGGAGTGGGGGTGAGGCTCACCTGATCCTTTGTGTCTTAGGAGGACAGAAGGAGGAGGGGGAAAGGTTCATGTGTGGCCGCGATAGGCCCCCAACAGAACATAATCTAGAAGAATGGCTCTATCACGTATCTAACAACTAAGAGCAGTCTTGTTTCAGAGGAGTTAGGAATGCTCCTGTTGTGTGTTTCTCCTCTTCCCACCCGCCCATCCACATCTAGATTCACCATATTCTGTCTCATCCTCCCCGCACTTGCCTGTGGTCAGGTAGTGGCTTCTTCCTCGATGCCAAATCCAGGGGTGTCTTCCAGTCCTCACTGCACTGGCCCCTCTCTGCTCTGTGGCGCCAGCTCTCCCCCTTACTGGTGTGACTGGCCTCTTGTGTTTTTCCTCACACTTCTCTCCGACTCTCCCCAATCTGACTCCTTCCCAGGCTGGCCTTCTGCCGGCCTCACTGTGGAAACATCTCAAAGGTTCGGTCTGTGATCCACAACTATTCCCAGGATGTACCTTCTCCATGGGTGCTCTCATCCTCTCTCTGTGTCTCTCTTTTTTTTCTTAAAAAAAAAAAAATGCCTTTATTGAGATATAATTCACATACCAGACTGTCCTCTCATTTCCAGTGTGCAATTCGGGAGTTTTTGCCATTTCCACAGGTACATCATGCAATAATCAACACAGACAATTTTAGAACATTTTCATCACCTCAGAAAAGGAAATCCCACACCCTTTAGGGATTGCCACATAGTCCCCCATCCTTTCCAACCCTCAGCAACTAGGAATCTTCTTTCTGTCTCTATAATTTTGCCTATCTGTGGCTTTTCATTTAAAAGGAATTCTGCAATATGTATTCTTTTGTGACCGGCTTTTCCACTTAGCATAGTGTTTTAAGTTCTTCCATGTTATAGAATGATCAGTATTCGTTCCTTGTTATTGTTGAATAATCCTGCACTGTATGAATACACCATATCTTATTTATCTACGTATTAGCCAATGTGCATTTGGGTTCTTTCTCTGTTTTGGCTGTTATCAATATCACTGCTGTGAACATCTGTATACAGGTTTTTGTGAGAACACGTGCTTTCATTTCTCTTGGACACATCCTTAGCAGTGGAATTACTGGGCCCCATTTATTTCATCCTCATTTTTTCTTGTCAGTATCCATGCAGGTCCTCTTCTGAGTCTGCGTCTGCAGCATTGATTCCTTCACACCTCAAGCTGTACTTGCTAAAACCCCCATCTGGCTATCCTATCAGCAGCTTCAAACAAAACATGCCCCAGTGAACCCACGTTCCTCTGCAAAATTACTTTCACCCCTTGAATCTATCGTGTCTGCTCACGCCCAGCATCCACCCCTGTTTTTCTTGCCTGCTCCCTCTTTCTCTCTGCCTGTCTTTAGTCCATACTATAGCTTACTAATTTAATCATCAGTACTTTCCTTATGATCCTCTCAATTCCTCACCTCCTCTGCCCTCATTCACCAACTCTCTTCTATATGACAACAGTTTGCTGGTCTCCTTGGCTTTAGGTACATTGTTTTCTCACTCAAAATCTGCATAGTCATAAGGGCAGTCCTTCTGCAACTTCAATCTTGGCTTTAGGTA